ACAAATGAACAATGATTCATACTGTAGAAGCACTTTAAGTCTCATGACATTTATTAAGTACGTGATTAGATGTGTGACACCCTATTAAGTTATAAATTCAATGCAAATATCCACCTGCTTTATTTTAGAACCTTCTTGCTGGCTACAAAGATTATTCCTGTTTTTACACAACTTTAGCTCCATACTCTATCCAATAAAACACTAAATTGGACTAAATCTCATTCTATAAAACATGGAAGCCAATATCATATCACTAAAATTTTTAGAGATTAAATTGTTTGTAATTAAATAAATATATAACATGCCCAAAATACAATTCTTCTATAAATGCTCTCCTTCAACCCCCCTGTATTTGTGTTAGTCTTTCGTCTCTCAGGTGTTATGTGAACTTACACCTGGTCTTCAGAGAAGAGTCCAGACATATTTCTTCCGTCAGAATACTGTATATGCTGTAGCAGACCAGTTTTAGCTTGGACTTCTGGGAAGTCACAAAGTTAATGTCACAGTATGCCAGCAGTCAGTATCGGTGTTTGTCCTTTCCCTGTGTGTTTGTCTCCTTCCCCTAATCAAAGTCATCAAAGGCAGATGGTGGGGCAGGAGGTAGTTGACCAGAATGGAGGAGCATAATGTTAGCTCAATTTCCACAGCTAAACATGGAAGTGTTGAAACTGGTGTTGAACCAGTTTGAATCACAACTCGGGCAGAGGGGGGCAGGAGAGCAAACAAAAGGCAATCTGCATCTGCATTGTTTCTTCAAGCTTCCCCTGTAATAAGCTGCACACACCTGCCCCTGACTGAGACAGTGGCAAAACCTCACTGAGGGGAATGGGCAGACAGGAGGGGACATTAGAAGCCTGGACTTTAACAGAGCAGTGCTCTCTTCCTCCAGGGAGCTCCTCTACACAAGACGGACCACCTCACTCCCTGGTTTTCCGTGGTGTAACACTGGCCACTGCACAGACTAGGGCAATTGGACCAGTTATTCTTCCTCTTCCCTTCAGAGACTGCTGAGCATGAATGTTAGTTTTTGAATATATAGATATAATTGTGCTGCATGGAGTAATACAGACTTTCAAGTGCCTTTTTTATTAACTGGTGACCCTCTGGAATCAAAAGTTTCCCCATTGAGATACTTTTTGTGTTGTGGAAGTGGTTTTGGGGTAGTGATGAATGTTGTAGTCACTAGAAAATAAAAAGGGCACTTAAACAGTAATAATATCTGTCATTGGCATGAAGATGCGCTGGTGGTTCTGGGACATAGAACCTGTGGCAAAGGAAGAAGGGTCCTAGCAGCCTTTGTAATTGCTAACTGCTCAGGGCTTATTGATCAACTGGCTGTATACAGAGGGCCAGGCGTAATGATGCATTGTGTAGTTGCACCCCGTTTCAGAGCCTCCTTCACAGTCCGAGGCCCAGTCAGACCTGTTTTGCAATCCCGCATGTCCACTCTGAACTGTGTGGTAATTAACGAGTGTCTACACAAGGCACTTTGATCAATGCGAATCTTAAGAACAAGGAAATACCAATCCGTCACCCAAACAGAGACTCATTTCTTTCACCCTGTGACACAAGGAACTAACGAGTGCCAGTCTCAATATAATCGCTGGCTTTCATTTATGTGCCAAAATAGTTTCGTTACAATACCATCGACAGCAACAACAAAAATATATGGCTGAGGAAAGGTCAACCGGTGCATGATTTGATAAAGAAATGAATCATAATGTTTGCATTTCCTGTTCATCTGAAGTACCTGTATTCAAGGGGAGGACCAGAGAACGCCTTATAATGTCAGTTTTACATGACTAAATAAACATTCTGTTGATTGCAATCTCAAGTTCTAAGAAAAGTGTAAATGTGGAATGCAGCCTTATGAAAGAATTAAACTATAATTGCATATTGTATATGTTTATTTCCTTTGTGGTTCAACACACCCATTAGGGATTTACCAAATCAAAGGTTAAGGTCTTACTAAACATCACTAGTCACACATACTTTTAACTAAGTATGCTAGCACTGGAATAAACCTATTACTTGTTCCTTTGCAGCCTACGCATGTCGACGCAGCCACCCACCTGAACAAATACTTTTAGATGTGTTTATATAATGAGAAAATGCTTTAGAATGTTTACCTATACAAATATGTTTTGAAGCATTGTAGGACCTATACACAGTTCAGTATGACAATGTGGTTGATTTCTTAATGTTTGAAAGTATTCTGAACTTTACATTGCTTATGCAACCAACTGAACTTACATCTTCTGCTGGAAACTATTGTATGGCGACACCTAGTGGCACATTTACTGTCTTATTTGAACAAAATCATAATATACACTTTTGATATTTTAACACAATAGTTAAGAAAATGTCTCCTGGAATTAGCAAGATCTTTGCAACTAACTGAAATAAAAACCAGGTAATTAACTGTAGATACTGTAGATTACATGTACAAGGTACAATATATAGTAGAGCGTAAAACCATTAAAAGACTTTATAGTATGCTGAACGGCAGAATACAAAATACAAGAAAAGAAATATAGAAAAGATATATATTTTGTTTACATGACTACAATTGTTTTCAAGAAATCCCTGACAAACCTCTTCTTTGTCATATAAATTAATGTAAAAACTGGTCGTTAGTTTTTACACAGTTGAGGAATAATTTCTGTTTTAATTACATAAACCTCATTTCCATTACAACATCTGTATTTTCATTTTCAGCCTAATCAAATCAATAGAAGGGGTCATTATGTTAATAGCCACACCACACTCAAGAAAATTCAGTTCCTGCTGCCCTTGCTACAGACAGTTTGATATTACTTCTCTTGCTTTTATGGGTTATACCAGGAACTGGGCCCTAGACTCTAATCTAACACCAGACTTTTTTTTCCAGACTGGATGCTGGAGTGAGTTGAGGAAGTCCCCAGGAGACTATCACAGTGGATGACAGTGTGGAAGAGAATCCTGGAGGGGTGTTTCTGTGTTCTTTATTCAAGGATGGCGTGTTGCGTTTTTTCTGGGGGTGAAATGACAAGGACATGACAAAGATGTGACTGTGTCATGAGTCCTCCATTGCATTTATTTTTCTTGTTAGTGGAGACTAGGTTGTTAATTTGCTTTTTTTTATCCATTGTGGATGTTTTTTGGGGGGTTTAAACTAGATGGACAAATCCTATTGTAATTGCTAGCATCTGGTAGAACAGAACTGCAGGCCCGGTATCTACTGTTCCTGTCGCGTGCTGATTTGTGGGTACTTGGGTACTTTACTGTAACCAAGAGTGAGTACTGCTGATCACTTCCCTAACGTGGGAAGGCATTCAAGTAACTGTTAATGATTTTAAATATTTCAGATTACCATGACTTCCATATTTAATTATTAAGACATTGTTGTGTTCCTTTTGTAAATAGTGAAAAGAAATGGATTCACTGCAGAGATCCAGAGAGCAGGTTTGTGTCAGTTAAATAAAAAAACACAATTTTAACTGGTCTGTACCACACTCCGCTGGCCTCTCTCTGTAAGACCATCTGTGAAAATAGTGACATGAGGTATTCTGCCTCTGTACAGTAATCTGCAGGGTCACAACACCGGAGTTACACAGTTCAACCAAAGTTTCTGGGAGTTGATTAGACCACCTCACACCTTAATTAGTGGAAACAGGAAGTGGTTATGATTTGAAACTTCAGAACTTTCTGTTCAGAGACAGTCCTAGATTATGTGGGTTTAAGAACAGAATACTTGCACATACCAGAGGGCCATTAGGCTCATCTTCAGCAGCATAAAACACTGCTGCAGTTAACAATGTCCACAACTTCACATGAGTGAGGTTAGAAATGCCTGTGAATGTTGTATTAGTAACTAGACAACTTTGCAAACAAGGAGCATTTCTTTATGTGGTACTTAAGGGTAAATACTGTACTGTATTCATTGTTAATAACAAATTAACTTGTACCCTGATTTTACTAATTACCATACAGTATAAACAGAACATCAATAATATTTTAAAATCATTTTACTTTACTAAAGATCTCACTGGCTTTGGAAAGTAAACCTTTTATTTGACTAGACAAATCAGCTGACAACAGTTTTACATTAGCAATGACAACCTGTCTAAGAAGCTCCTATGGTTATACTGCAGATGTACAGGAGACACAAAAGTGAAAGAAAAGACCTTTATTAAAAAGCAAACTGCATAACAGGGTGGAATCTAACAGTATGTGGTTGTGCTATGAAGTGCAAGTTTCAGGCAGGAAAGCTCTAACCACATAATTGATAACAGCCTCAGATATGAAGGCCAGCAGCTCCAGCTCACTCTGCTGGTTGTTTCAGTCTCTTGCAGGGGCGATGGAAGGACTTGAGCCTGAAGTTGACAGTCTCAAGAGATATGGTTTTGAGAAGCTGTTTAGCTGTTATTTGTGAAACAGTTTTTTGAGGAAAAAAGGACATAGGGTACAAATGAAGTCATGCAGTATTCTTTGGTGTGTGCATTTACACTATTTCTGGGCTGAAGGAAGTGTAGAAAATAAGTGAAAACAAGAGCTAAACATAATAATTGTTTAATTCATTCTTTCTTGTAGGACAGCTGCTTAATAAAACAGTGATTTACTGAGTTTATATGCCAGACTCTGACTTGTGCAGGAGTCCTACAAGGAAGAATGAGTACAAATGAGCAAGAACTGGATTGCTGTTTCCTTGGTTTGGCTCAGGCCTCAAACCCAAGTTGACAGGACAGGGCCACCAATGAGATTACACAGGTGTAAGTGATGAACACTTGAGCATCCAAGGCGAGTGTGAATCTGTCTTTGTCACGTGTGTCCTGAAATCTATCACTTTATTCCCATTTGATCCATCAAGCCACACTTCATTTTATGTCCTGAAGACTGCATTGGTCGGTTATATATACACAGTATATGTTTCATCATTCTGCAGATCCTGTTAAATAAGCATGAGGCAAAGCATTAATTGGAGGTGTAATGTGTCCAAAAAATGTACGCATTTACCTTGAGGGCTCATGACTTTAGCACGCTACTTGCGTTGAAGCCAATAGGCAGAGTTTGCATAGGTTTAGATTTTGAGGGAGAAATTATGATCAGAGCAAAGCTATTTGGTATCAGTGTACTCACAAATGTTATTGCAAATTACTCATGCAGAGCAAGCAGCTGAGGGACAACAGGTGGTAACATGAGTCCTGCACTCAGATTACTAAGCAAGGCACTGCTCTACTAACAGGCGATATAATGGTCACCATTCCTTCATTAACTACCTGAAACCTGGTCACACGCAAGGAACATAGAAATTATTCCTCATGGTTTACATGGTCATCTGTCCCCAGCATGGATTATAGGACTCTGTTATGCATAATCTTGTACACATATGTACAAAAGATACTGTATGTAGTAAAAGGTGGATAGATGACTGGCTAAACGCCATGCAATAAATCCAAAATGATGCCCATATTAATTAATACCTCTTAGGTGTTTAACTCCAGTCTGTAATGGAAATGTTAGAAATGAGAGAAAACCATTCAGTTCATCGAGCTTGTAGGGTTTTAACTCTCCATAGTCCCAGAGACCCACAGTCTCATACACCCAGACTCTGTACTTGTACTGGGAACAACCTCCTCCAAGAATGTCACAAATTAAAGTAGCCAGGCAGCCTTAAGCTGTAGGTCTTTGTGAGGTAAAAGAAAACCAGTGAGCCTGGCCACAGCCCAAGAGAACATGGGAGAACATGCAAACCCACAGAGACATGTGTCTAACACAGAGATCAAACCCTGGAGCTATGAAGTAGTCAAGCTAAGCACCATTCTCAAAAAGCAAGAAATATCTTGATCAGGTTTTTGTAAATAGTCAAGTCTCACTTCCTCGAGGTGACATAATTTATCAATGACTCACTTGAAGCCAATGTCCTTTAGATACAGAGGACAGCTGGCTTGATGAACTTGATCAGAAGTTTTTATTAGATTGATTAATTCACCAATTCATTGTAATTTCTTAAACTGCAAGAATTGTTAATGTTGACTGTGGGAAATATAGAACAATGGTATTTCCCACAGTCAACATTAACATTAACAATTCTTGCAGGAAAGACTGAATGGCTTCAAGTGCAGGAAAGACTGATGGCTGTTTCTTTAATTTGACTGTTATTTTATCTTTCCTGAGCAATAACACAACAGTTGCAACAAACTAATGTTATTTAAAACATTCCCATTACATCCACTTCTTAGAGTAACATGAGGGAAGGAAATGACATTATACGACAATGAAACCACTTCATGTAAAATTATCTCACACTTCACTTACCTTTTTTTTTTTTAGAGTTGACACAGGAATGCTGGATTTGCAGCAATTTCTATGGAACACAAAATATTTAATTGCATTATGATTACTGTACTAGCAAATGGTAGCACATAACATATTGCAAATTATGAAGAACTAAAGGCAGTTTTCTTTACTTGTTATTACAAAGTGTTGAACAAATGAAATTCCAGTGTCACGCAGTTCAGATCCATGTTGGTAAGGTTTACTGACACATGTGCAGATGATCACAGCAGCAGCACTTTAGGGAGTACAGTGACAAAACAGAATGAAGAGTGGAGAAATAGCCTTTTGCAAGCACTTAACCATATACTGTATCTCTGGCAAACAACAAGCAGTTTCCCCCCTTTCATTCTGTTTTGTTGCTGTATACAGTATGTAGACCCCATTTCAGGTCAAAATCTTACATTCTATGGACCTCCTTAAAGAGGATTAATTGCAGTTATGTGGCCAGAGTCACCCAATGACAGCTTTGCCTTTGTGGGAAATTGCAAACCATGAAAAGAAAATAGATCTCTTGCAAGAACAGTATAATGATAATACTGTAAGATAATACATTTGTTACGTCACAAACTAATATGAGTTTTACATTTACAGTTTGCAGCATGCAGCAGTTTCACAGGAATGCTAATTTAAATAATTAATAAAATGTGTAAAAAAGGCTAATGATACACACCTGATTTTGCTCAGATGATTTCTCACAAAGAAGGACACTGCAAGACTAAGACCTACTAAGCTGGATAAGCTTACAGAAATGATCGTCCACGTGAGAGGGAAAGATGAGAAAGACAAACCCAGATCTAAAAGAAAATGTACTTTGTCATTGCTGCATCAACAAACATTTGGCCATTTTCTAAAAAAAAAGTTTTATTTAGTACAAGGTTGTGGCGAAGCTGGATTCTAACCTGACTAGCAATGGGTGGAAGACAGAATGGGTGGGCTACCAGTCCACCACAGGGCACACACATGCACTCACACCAGAAGTCAATTAATCTACCAGTTTGTCTTTAGAACGTGGGAAGAAACCAGAGCACCCAGAGGAAACCCATGTGAACACGGGTAGAACATACCAACTCCACACAGCTAGAACAGAGGTATCGAGCGCTACACGGCAACATATTTGCTGCCCCCCCCCGCCCTAAAAAAAAGTAATTCATTTGGATATTTCAACGTTAAATTAAGTAACTAATTGTTGATTTTTTTCTTTCCTTGTGTGGAAAAGGGTAATACATTTCAGAACCTGAAAAGGTTTTGGCTATAACTCATTTTAGTTTCTTTGCAGATTTGTCTCTCAGCACCAAAAATAATAGAGTCAAAATGACTCACAGAACAAGTGACACTGATAGAAAGGTTAGGATTTGTTTCCTGTACATTTTTACTTTCTTAATCCCTTTGACAATTTCTTTGAGAATGAATTACTCCAGAATCTCACAAATGCACTTTCCAGTGTCTAATGTACAGAACAAAAACACAGACTAATGATAAATCTAATTCATATTAAACTCAAACACTGAGAAATTAAATTAAAGTGGTGAACTGAAAGACTTGAGACTTTACTGTACTTTGTAATTTGAGCCCTGTGACACTTGTGCTATTAAAAGTCATCTCACTCCTTTTTATCAACTTCTTGTTTGCTTCTAAACTTGCAATATACAAACTAATGACAGACTAAGCAATTCTCTTCACTGTAAAGTTGTTAGTAGCATGTGACATACTTTCAAGAGGTAGTCCGAGGGTCTTATGTAAATCCTCCTTCCAAACTGGGTGCTCAACTACACAGGACACACTCTGCAAGGATGTGTTGTCAGGGATGCTGGCCGAGCTCTCCACAGTGTACGTGTGATCTGGGTTCTTGGTGGTTTTCTCGGTCCAGTTCGACACTCCAATCCAGGAAATGTTGGCAGCTGGTTTACTGTTTGCTGCTGTACAAGTGGCCATCTTCTGGGTGATGTCATACACCAAATTTATCTTTGGTGGAACTTGAGGAAGAGAGGCAAGATAGCTGTCAATTCAAAACTTACTCCAGAAAATGTTCACATCTGGATATTCTGAATATATGTTCTAAAGATGAATATATTGTGACAGCCCACTGGGCTTGTTGTAACAAGATATTTAAAATAGGGTTTAGATCACATGGTCAAGGACAATAGACACACATATAGCTATAATAGCTGTAAGGTTAAAACCACAGCTATTCTGTTTAGAGTGCAGGGAACAAAAAACGACATCACAAACCAAACAAACACCAAACAAAAACCTAAGTTCCTCTATAAGCTACTGACTGAATGTTTTCAAAAACTCTTAGTTCTTTAGGTACCTTCTCAGCTCTTCTCCCTCAGGCTAGTAGCATGCACAGAGTATCTGCCTTCTGACCTCCAGATTGCAGACTCATCAAATGAGCAACACAGAAAGTCCATATAGGAATCTCCATTTTATCTGGACTAACTGCTTTCTCACAATATCTTATACAGTCCATTTCATTCTTGTAGAAAGCTGCTTTCAAAACATAATAAATTATACTTACAATTCACTTGTGTAAGGTGAAATGAAAATTTAAAAGTTCAGTCTTTCTAATTGACCACGGGAGTTTCCAGAATCCTGTTGAGCTGTTGAACTCTGAGGGCTGTTCAACATAAATACTGTACATATTGGAATCTGATCTATTTTTTACAAAACCAAAACTTTCAAATCATTTCTAAGAATTCCATTCCATCATAATGTCACAGTAAAACCTAAAATTTGTGGAGACACTTTATTAAAATCCTTCGATTAGATAGATTTTTCTTACCTCTAGCAGACACGTTGATCTGTGAAGCGTGCAAGCCTCCCTGATAAACTACCTCACAGTAGTAAATCCCTTCATCCTTGTACTGAAAATGAGGGATGTGCAGAAATGTTCCATTCTGTCTGTTTTGTATCCTTTTTCCATCATTACAGGAATTAACTTCTAGCTCACTGGTACGCTTTGCTATATTACACTCCTCTATCCCTCCTTTCTTTTTCTTCCAGACAATAAATATCGTGTTGTTCCAGGTCTGGTTTGTGCACATCAGATCAACACTCCTGTCCAGTTCAACAATCTCACTTCTGTGTTCTGTGTAAATAAAATGGAATTAATAACACATGACTTCGGCTACCATGGTGGCACAGTGGTTAGCTTTGCTGCCTCTCAACACTGGGGCACTTGGAAGAGTGAACTGGGGTGCCAACTTTGTGGACTTTGAATGTTTTCCTCCTGGTGCGCTGGTCTCCTCCCACAGTCCAAAGACATACAGTACTAGTACAGTAGATTAATTGGCTTTTGGGAATATTGGCCCTGGTGTGTTGCATGTGTGTGTGTGTGCCCGGAATGGACCGGTGTTCACTGTTCATGTGGGGTGTGTCCTTCCTTAGTAAAAACAAATTTGTGCTTAAAACACTAAATTAGAAAGACGAAAAAATGTATTTGTCTCAGTGTTTTGACTAAAAGGCAACAAGTGTTTTGTAGTATTCAATTATAATTATTTGATTTTCAGTAATTATCATATTACTAACATCAACGAAAAGTTGACAAATTATCAATATGAGAAAATATAATAGTTATTGGCAATGGTCACAGTATTAAAAGTAACAGAGTGAAGGCTGCCTGATAAATAGCTACTTTCAAGACATATGATGGTTGTGTTTAGATTTCATTTTATTCTTGGGATGACATTTGTAATATATTTACACAGAACAAATAATATTTTTTCATAATTGTTACAAAAAACTTCTGTAACTTCTGCTCCTTAATGTTGCACTGCTTTAATCTCCTTGCCTTTTTATTAAGCAATTAGTGGTGTCTTG